AGGAATAGAAGAAGTTGAGGTGAGGGCAGGACCTGACCCCATATTGGAAGATGGATGTAAAGTGAAGCAAGGCACATGATGGGTTTGTTTCTTTTATTCAATGCATTAACAAGAAAAGCATAAAGATACATATCTGGATACATTTTAGCTAAATAGGTTCCCAATTCAATTTAATCTCAGAAATCCCTGCCTCTATAAGTCTTTGTATTTTCACTTTGTCTAAAAGGCCCTTAGATTTTTTTGTTTAAGGATCTTGAGTTGGGTTGTTTTCAACACATCATTTTTCTGGAAGGCCCAAGTATGGCATTTTCTCACCCTGTAGTCCCCACAGGGTCTGGGCAATGTTCTTGGAAGCACAAAGATGATCTCACACAGTTAGAGAAGGGGTTCCTAATAAAATAATAGTCCTTCTCTCAGGCCACTGCATACTGCTAAAATATATTACTTTTTGACCTTTGGCTAAAATCCCATTTAGAACAACTGAAGTATTAGCCTCCTGTCAGCCTTACCACATTCAAGGCTATAATTTTTGACAGCTGTAAGAGATCTAGCATTTTGTGGGAGCCCAGATGAGCTGTCTATAGAAGACCTTTTGTGATAGTTGTTTGTCCAAAAAGGTTGGATTGTAGACTATTCAGCCTCGAAGTCCTCAAAGCACTTGGATTATCTCAGCAGTGCCTGCTCAGTTTTCCCTTGGCAGGTGCTGATTCACCCTGGACCTGGATGTCACCTGTAAGGGGCAGAGAACTCCCTCCAAAGTGTGCTTTCTGAAGCTTTTCCATTCCTGGCCACTGAGGAAGTGTTATGCAGCCTTGGGTGTGTAATATAGGCATACAAACCAAATATTTACTGATAATATATTTTAAAACAGTTCTTTGGTATGCATATATTCTCATTAAAGAAGAAAACAAATTTGCATAGTAATGAGATTGCTGTGCTTTGCATCATGCATAATAATGGGCTTCATTTTGACCCCCCCCTCTCTCTCTCCTTTCTTTCTTTTTTCTAAGACAGGGTTTCTCTGTAGCTTTGGAGGCTGTCTCGGCACTCACTCTGTAGACCAGACTGGCTTCAAACTCACAGAGATCCTCTTGCCTCTGCCTCCCGAGTGCTGGGATTAAAGGCATGTGCCACCACCACCTGGCTATATAATTTTTTGTTGTTGTTGTTTTTTTGAGACAGGAGCTCTCTCTCTACAGAGCCATGGTTGTCCTGGAACTCACTATGTAGACCGGATTGGCTTTGAACTCACAAGAGCTGCCTGCCTCTCTTACCAGTTTTGGGTTAAAGGTGTGTGCCACCAACCCACTCTTGCCCCTTTCCTTCCTGTTAATCCTCTTCCCAGCTACTTCTCTTCTACTCCTGTGTGTGTGTCCCAGTGAGTTAAATTAGTATTGCTTTCTAGGAACATGGTAGAGAATTATTAAAGGAATATTGACACCTTACTGGTGGCTATACACTAAAAAGTCTTGTTTTTAACATAAAGAATTAAATCACAGATGAATAGTTAGTAATGCAGGATGCAAAGCATCTTAAACAGTTTTTAGAGCTAATTGATAATTTTGATTTTTTTAAAATCATCAATGTGGTACAAAGCTGTGAAAGTAGTCTTAGGGTCATTTTAAAAGTTTTTGGAAATTCTGTCCTACTCCCAAGCAAAAATTCATTTAATGCTTTTTTTTTTTTTTTAAATGAAACAAGTTGGTAGCTCAAATAGCAATTTTAAGAATCAAACATTCTAACAATACATTTCAAAGACATGGTAATTTTATTTGTTATGTAACCTGGTTGGGGGCTGGGACATTCTGGTTATTGTAGTTTCCATTTCCATTGCATCTTTGGTTTATGCTTTGTGTGGCAACACATTTCTTTTCTTCAGCTAACATCTGCCTCTATGAAACTTGCACTTATGAATCTAATTCTCCGCCTGTAGGTTTATATGTAGTAAGTTTAATTCCTTGTTAACTGTATTCAGATAGCTATTGCTTATTCTGAAACTCCTTTGTTTGGGTTAA